ACTCGTGAGACTTCCAACCGTCTAATGTCGAGCTCCAAATGCAAGCTTAATGGCTTGTTGCACCAAAAACATGCACAGACGATCAAGTTAGACGGCGCCAAATGTTTCGGGGTTTTTCCCCACAGACGGCGTCAAATGTTTCGGGGTTTTTTGAGGTGTCCTACGGGAGAGTTACAACACCGAGACTGACCTATAGCTGCCTGTACCTACAAAACAACGGAGACTCCCAAGGGTGGGAGTTCCGCCTCCGACGATCAAGTTAGAACGTGTTTGAGGAGTATAGTGCGGAAAGTGATAACCCCTTCTGAGTCAGGAGGGTTCTGTAATGAATATTGCTCAATAACCCCTCCTGAATCAGGAGGGTTCTGTAAGTAATAACCCCTCCTGAGTCAGGAGGGTTCTGCAATGAAGATTGCTCAGTTTTTGGGTTGATTGAATGTATATTCAATGTATGTTGTGTTTTGTGTTGTTGGGTGTTTGTCCCCTCCTAAATGAGGATGGTTCCTCTATTTATAGAGAAGGAGATCAATCCCTTTCTAGGGTTTGCTGACACGTATCACCAGGCTATTGGGACACATGTTGTGTTAACAGTGGTCCGTTTGTTAGGGGGTTTTTTTACCCCCAAACACATTCTTTTCTGCAAGGACCTCCTCACGAAGACTTGATCTTGTAGTTTCAGTCTGAGGCTCAGCATCCTTAGTCTTAACATTTATGGTATCGCTATGCACCATTAGTTACCGAAATGGACTCTATAGTTCCTGATGTAGTTTCTTCATGAATCTCCACCTCTTGATCTTGAATCGTCATAGAAGGTTGTATTGATTCAGGCAAGGATCCTGAGGCTGGATTGGATACAGAGTCACTTTTCCCTTGTTCAGCATTATCTTGGACAGTTTTACCCTTTCCATGAACAGCGACATAAGGTTGTTTTGGCTCGGGTAAGGACTCTGAAGTCATAGGCGATGAGTCAGAAACTAAGGGGGCATCAACATTAATATTAGCATCGATAGTTTGAGCAGGCTGAGTTGTTTGTATGGTAGCAGGAGTTTGGATTGTTGTGGTTTAAGAGAAGAAACCGAAGTTGTTCTTGAAACTGGAACTTCAAGGATTGATTTACAATGTTTGTAGCTTTTGGTTCACCACTAGATGATGAACTTTCCTCAAGTGGTTGTTTGTCTAAAACAACATTCAGGTTCCTAGTTGAGCCATTATCGCCCTTTCTCTTCTTCTTTTCAGGCCCTTGATTTGTTAGAAAGGAAGGTTCAGGGTCACGAGGTGGTGATTTCTCTAATGACAGCAGGCTAGAAGCAGCAGTTTTCTCTAAGAGATCTGGAATGCTTGCTGTGTTCCCTAACTCTTCTTCATAACTGTCAATCTAAACAGGGTTCGAAGCCGTGGTCTTTTCTAGAGACTTTTGTTTCTTTTTAATATTAGGAGCCAGACCTTATATGAAAGAGATCATAGTGAGTAATAAGGTACAAGAAGCTTGGACAAATTAGAGCTAATCCACTTACTGGTAAGAGGGATATCAGTAGTTTTGAGCTCTGGTTCTGTTTTGAATGCAGATTGAGACCTTGTGCTGGGACTTGACATGGGGATGTTCCTAAGCTGTTACTCCTTGATTTCTGTAAGGAACTTGGAGTTGAAAGAGAGATTATCTTTCTCAATCCAACTCTATTAAAATAATGAGAATAGGCAACTCCTAAAATTGCGACATTAATAAAATTGTTACCCTTGATAACCTAAGGCAACAATTTTAAAATGTTACTTTGAACTAAAATAATAATATTGGATCCCTGTGCAACAGTTAAAAAAGTGTTGCTATACAACATTAAAGACAACAATCACCTAAAGTGTTGCCTTTCTTTTGTCTAAGGCAACATATTCAGGAAATGCTGGAAAAGATAACAACAATACAATTGTAACCTACCAATGTAACACATATGTTATGTTGATCATCTATGACATCAATTTATTGAATACACACTAAGATAAGTTTGATATAGTGGAAAGGGGAACACCTTCCAATTAACTATGTGGTTGGAGGTCTAATCTCCACTAGAGGCAATTTGGGGGGAGGGTTTTCCCCTTATATTACCATTTCCCCAACTCTCCTACCTTATTTGGCTAGTTAACCTAAGTCGGGTTGTCCAGTGAAAGGTTTCGGCTCGATAGAGCCATTTATCTTACCTACTAAAAAAATATTGAATACATATCTAATTAAATATTAGATGAATGAAAATTATATTATGATTTTAAGGATTTTATCTAATTAAATATTAGACGAATGAGAATTGCAAAAAAGTTAAGAAAATCTTAGATGAAAATTACGAAAATAGATTTTTAAAATTATGCAAAATATCATATATAATAAATTGTGCGACAGTTTTATGTAGTATTATTTAAAAAAAATTAAAAAATAAAAAAAATCATATATTGCATGAGTTTTGAAAAAAAAAATAGGGAAGGGGGGATATTAGGCTAACTGACCAGATTCGTAAATAAAAAATACCCATAGCAACAATTTGCTAAAAAATAACAACGGTGACAATTTGGTAAAAAAAAAAAGCTAATCCCAAGCGATAATTTGGTGGAAAAAAAAAAAACCTTATGCGGCAATTGACCCAAAATGTATAGAAATTTCTCGACAAAATACTTGCAAATGCTTAATTTAGTTCGTTTTTCGTGTTTTTTGTAAAAAAAAATTCCCTTTTAATTTTCCAACCCTTTTTAAGGAAATTACAATGTGAAGAAAAAAGGTTAAATATTAATTTTTACTTAATTTTCCTAACCCTTACAAACAATTTTTTTAAGAAAAAAGATTTGGAAATAAATTTGGTATCGGAATTTAGCAAAATTTTATGGGATATATAAATTTAAAAATTACAAAAATAAAATAAATAAGGGTTTTTGTAGAGTTTGTCGCAAAAAAAATAGAAATTTTGGTCTAAATGTTGCTGAATTTATTTTTTTATTAGAGGTGATCAAAGTTAGCCCGACCCGATTTTGGGCAGAATTTTTTGGCCCGAAATCGGGTTAGGTCCGGCCCGGCCCGAAAATTTATTTTTTTTGGGCGGGTTTGGAAATGCATTTCTATGCATATTTAGTTAATTTTTTAGGCCTGGCCCGAAAAGCCCACACGGCCTGACCATTTTGGGCGGGTTTGGACACAAAAATTCCGGCCCGAAGCTTGGCCCGGACCGAGAAGTGGGCATAATTTTTTAGCTTCTGCCCGGCCCGGCCAATGAGCACCTCTAGTTTTTACCAAACTGTCGCATATGGTTAACTTTTATTACAAATTCTTATATGTGGTTGGCACACCGTGTGGCAAGTCACCATAAGGGTTACTTCGTTAGTGTAATAGGGGTTACTTGGTCAGTATTAAAGAGGTTAATTCGTTAGTGTAATAGGGGTTACTTGGTCAGTATTAAAGATAGTGGAGTTAATAATTTATTGAAATGTAATGAATGTGAGAGGAAAGAAATACTATCTCCGTTTCATATTTTTTGCAACTTTGGAATATTTTATATCTCACAAATAATACCCTAAAGTTGCAAAAAAATATGAAACGGAGATAATAATAAAAAAAAAAGTAGTAGTGGGTTTGGGAGTGGACCGTGAGAGGAGAGAAATATACAATATTAAAATGTAGTTTTTTGCCAAAAAAGAAAGTGCAACACTTATTAAAACATGAAGGAAGTATCGCTAGGGGTCTTTTATTTACCAATTTGGTCAATTAGCAGGAAAGATTAAAAATAAAAGGAAAAATTAACAACAAAGGTCTCAACTATGGCCGGTCTTCATTAAAAAGTCCCACATTTCAAATAACCAAGGACAGTCCCAACTATTGTACTCCCTCCGTTAATGGTTAGTTGCAACATATACTATAAATAGGTGCTACCTATTATTTGCAACAAACTTATTTTTTTCTTTTTTTAGTAACTTTTTTATGGTAAAATGACTAAAATACCCTCATTTAATAATTATTAACACATAATACTACACATAATTACAAATTATTATAACCCTAATCTAACTTAATTATCTAACTTTTTTCCCCAAAAAAATCAGATCAATTCTTAATTTCATCTCCCCACCATCTCTCTCCTCCATCTTCTTCGATCTTCATCTTCTTCCTATCATCATCATCATCTCTCATCTTCTTCCTTCTTCATCTCTCATCTCTCATCATCTTCTTCGTGGTTCGTGGATGGTTACTTCGTGGGTGGGTGTCGATGGTGGTGGTTTTGGGCGGTTCGTGGGGGTAGTTTTTGGATGGGTTTGATTTTTGGGTTTCAGATCTGGTGGTTCTAGGGTAGTGTGTGGTGGTGGTGGTTCTGTGTGGCGTGTGGTGTGTGGTGGTGGTGGTTGTTCTGGGTAAATCTCCCTTCCTTCATCATCAAATTTCTTCATCTTCTTCATCTTCTTCCAGATCTGTGGGTTTCATTGTTTTAATTGCTATTTTTTGGACTGTGATTTTTTTTCAATTTAATGTCCAATTTTAACTGAATAAATTAAAAATTCAACTTTAATATTCTGGGTTTGAATTGGGTTCCTGCGGTGGTGGTGGGTTCGTGGGTGCGGTGGTGGGTTCGTGGGTGCAGATTGTGGGTGGTGGGTTCTTGGGTTCGTGGGTGCGATGGGTGGTGGGTTGGTGGTATCGTGGGTGCGGTAGCGGGTGGTTGCGGCGGTGGTTTTGTGGTTGTTGGGTTGTTTCGGTGCCGCTGGGTGGTGGTGGTGGTTTCGGTGCTGTAGGGTGGTGCTAGTGGTGGTGGGTTATTAATTTAATTTTAGTTGAATTTGTTTTTTTTATTGGATTAATACTTAATCATATGCTCTTAATCATGCTTTAAAAGTTTTGTCTTGGCCTCCGCGAAAGGTACACTTGTTGCAACTAATTGTTAACGGAGGGAGTACATATTTTCTTCCAATGGTACGTAACCTTTAACTTACGTGCGAAACCGGTTAAATGAACCACGTGGTGTTGTTTCATAGGTTTTTTTTTTTTTTTTTTTTTTTTTTTTTTTTTTGCTGCTCCTCCTCTCTTAGCTTTCCAATCAAGCCCTTGCTAGAACAACCATCTGCAGCAGCTACCCCACCACAAAATCACCACCTTCTAGCCTACCTGAATCACAAAATCACCAACCCAAGCCACCCTTACAAATCCACCAAGTCAGGCCACCCATACGAGCCACACCACAAAACCACCAATCGACGCACACCGCGAAGACATGAAGCCACCACCGTGTCGTCTAGCCCATCCTCATCTCAAAATTACCACCTACCAACCCACCCACACTACAAAATCATCACCATAAATCCCACCAATATACTACGCCAATTATGCAAAAATCAAAAGCTCTTACCATCCAAAATCAGGGATAATACAAGCAGCTTTGGAGGAGAATCGTGACTGCGGCTCGGGCTTCACGGTGAGTGACCTTGAAGGATTAGGGTGAGATGGATCAGGCCGAGAATCGCCACCATTGTAGCGTGCTATAACTGAGTGAACTCAAATGTCATTAGAGGAGATAAATGGAGGTAGAAGAAGAATGATGGTGGTGACGATTGAGGTGGTGGACTAGTGGTTGAAGTGTGGATGGTGGAGACTAGAGCAGTTGTGGTGGTTATGCCGTGAAAGGAGAGATTGAGAATAAATTACTGTAATTAAAATATATTACCGATTTAACGGGTAACAAGTTATACTGGATTGTTTTGAGAAGAAATTGTTATAATTGGAACTGCCCTTGTTTATTTGAAAGGTAAGACTTTTTAAAGAAGAATGGATATAGTTGGCATCTTTGTTGTTAATTTTTCCAAAATAAAAAGGGCAGAAGAATTTCTTCTCATACCATTTTCACATCATTATTCAGTTACCTAATTCATCAGTTGCAGACTTGCAGTACGCCAGTTATGCCGCGATTTGAGTTCTCTCATTTATATCTTCATTTCCCTCTTTTCTCCACCATTCTTCTCTAACAAGCTGCTCCTTCCATACAATTCCCTCCTTTCCATATCTCTCTCATTTGTCGTTGCAAATTTCTAGTAATTTCTGGCAAAATTGACCCTTCAAACCCCAGATTTCAAAACCCACAAACTCTACTCCTCAAATTCCCAAATGGGTGATGCCCGGCGATCCGCATCGGTCCCAATACCGGACATCAACAAATCAGACTGGTCCGAGCTGCTTCGAGCCCTCGAAACATCGCTGGGTCCGGACTTCAATTTCTTTTGTTTTTCGGGATTGATTTCAGAGAAATTGGGATCATGTTGCTACCAGGTTTCCCTTTTACCATTCCTTATTTTCTAATCATAACATTGTGAATTCATGATTTTTGACAATTTAGTTTAAACTTTATGCATTTTTGTTTCCCTAATTCTATTAGTGAAATTTAATTAAGAAGCCTTTGAATTGCGAATTATTGACTATATTTAGCTATTGATTTATTGTAAATGTGGCAAATAATCAATTAATGTTATTAATTTCATGTTGAAGATGTTTAAATGTTTAATTTGCTACCTATTAGAATTATGTCATGTTAAATTGTAAAGATGCAGTCTATACTCTATGATATATATTCTGAAAGCATAATTTTAGCCCCCTCACAATAAGAAAAGCAACTCATGCAAAAGATCTAGTTAAATTACAAATTTACGATGTAGAGTCTTTAGCTTGCCACCTAGTTGACTAGTTTGTTTAAAATTCCTTTGTTATTAAACTTAGGGGCTGTTTGGTTCGCTGGAATGGGGAAAGGAAATCATTCCCTTTGTTAGTGTTTGTTTTCACTTATTTGTCATTCCCATTCCCCCATTTTATTTTTGGGTTTACCCAAAAATCTCCTAAACCCATTCCCCCCCTACCTTTTGCATTCCCATTCCCCAACCACCAGTCCACCACCATACCCTATCAACTGGATGCACCTCGCCGGAACTCACTTCACCTCGCCGGACCCTCGCCGCCCTTCGTCGACCACCCCATCAACCCCAGCCCTTCACTGACCACCAACCCCAGCCCTTCACTGACCACCAAACACCACCATCAATGCCCTCCCTTTCCCCTCCTCCCGGAAACCACCAAAAATCCCATCTCCCTTACCCTTAAACCACTAGATAACCCACCATCCTACCTCCCTTTCCCCAAAACCACCAGAAAACTGACCCACCACCTCACTCGTCCTTCAAAAATCACCGCACCCACCACTCCATCCCCACACTCGCACCACACACGTCGATGAACATCACCTCCAGCACACCTCGCCATTCCCACGAGAATCGCCGTTGCTCTTGACGAGGTCAAGGTGGGAGTTCGAAGGAAAGAGATGGTCAACGGGGGACTACGTTTGTGAAGGGGGTCGCCGTAGTGGTGGCTATCGGTGGGTTTCGTCTTGGTGGTGGCGTGGGTTTGGATTTGGGTTTGGATTCTTGGGGGTTCTTGGGGGTGGCTGTTGGTTGGGTTGTGGGGTGGCTGGAGAAGGTGGAAAAAAATGAAGGATAGGTGTTGTGGTGGTGATGTGGTGGTGCAATGGTGGTGTGATTCCCATTCTTTTTTTTAAACAAACAACATGCTTAATTTTGAGGGTTTCATTCCATTCTTCTCCATTCCCTTTCTGCATTCCATTCCGATTCCCCTCTGCGAACCAAACGGCCCCTTAATCTATTATATTCAAACAATTAATTTCCTTATGTAAGCTCGTAAGAGAAAAACAAATAATTTGTTAATATGTTTGGTCACTAAACTAGTAAACTCACTTATAAGAAATATGAAAACCTGACGGGGAGGACTAGCCTTAAATTGAACACATTTCCCACATATCAATAAGGAGAGTAAACATATATATCCCATTTTGATTTAAGCAAACATAATAATTACTAATATAAAAAATTGTCTAATACAACATTCTTAATTTCTATCTCTAGTTAGAGGAGATCATAATAGCTCTGCTAGTTGTGACGTTCATTACCAAAATTGACATATATAATTTGCATAAGATCCCAAGTACCCTCAACCTTCAGGTTAGAATTCAACTCACTATAATGATTTGTTTTGAAACACTATGCATTGTTACCCATTGATCCATATACGATTGTATGCTTGTGCAAATAAATTCTTTCTAGTGTGATTTTTGTGTTTGGTCACTAAACTCACTTTGTTGGAGTGGACTAAAGCCATCTGGATAATGCTTGCGTAAGTACACCTGATTGATGATTCTACAGCTATGAAGCTGTTACAAGGTTGGATTATATGAATAAATTGATAGTGAAATCACAGTAAAATATTTTTAGGTAATAGATTCTCACTAAGATTTCAGAACTTAAAAGTTATCCAACATTGCTTTTACCATTGATCTATGACTAATCATATTATGTTCAATATAATGTAATAGTGTTGATCTCTAAAAAGTTTCTTTAATTGTGGTGCTGGCACCAATTTGGCAGAATAAAATCTTTGATTGTTGAGTGATAATTGTCAGTATTATTTTTAAAATGTCTAGCAAAACTAGTAATAAACAGTGGAAATTTCAGAAATTAAGTGTCCTTGGTTGGGATGTGGTTGTACATTGAACAAGTATGAAGTGGTAAATGAGATCAAGCTTATTATATTTTGGTTTAGTTAACTGAAAGTAGCTGCCTGTTTGTCCTTCCAGTCCTCGTTGATGATTATCACTTATCAGGCAGTGATTCTTATATGTCCATACAAGTTAGAGTAACTACTGTAATTTGATCTTTCAGTTTATCTCGTGCTCAAGTTTAAAATGTTTTGAACTTTTATAACGAGGCATTATAATTTTCAATGTTAATCCTATTTTTATTTTAGTCATACTCCGTTTAGCATCTGTTTTTTAATTTTCCCTTTAAGAGGACGTCTTTAAAATTTATTTTGAAGAAGGTTTGGGATTGATTTCTAGAATTTAGTTGTTATTGAATGAATATATAAAGTTACCATCACTTTTATGATTTACAAAGTGGTTTTATCATATATTTTATTATTTTGAGGAATACATTCTAAGGGGCACACCCCATAGAAAAGAACATGCTCATTCTACGGGAGTCCAAGACTTGAACCATCAGTACTTAGTAGTTTTAAAATTCTATAGTATTATAGTTTTCATAGTGTGACCATACTTGGACTCGCAAGGTTAGTTTCTTTGCAGTATAAATTTTATATGTTCTTTCATTTGGACTTTGGGTCTGGGTTTTTCCTTGTGGAGGAACTAATATTATTAACTTTGGCTTATTTTAGTTATTTATATTGAATTTTGAGGATTGTAATCATAATACTAACTTGGGATCGTTAATTCTGTTTTTTATTTATCATATTTAAGATAATATTGTTATTTTCTTCTATTGTTTATGTTAGTGTTAGTGACTAAACTAACAAACTTTGATGTCGACTTCTTGTTGTTGTCATACTTATTAAATACTTCCTCCAATCTTTTTTGTTCGTTGTTCTTTCCACTTTAACTTTTTTTGTCTAAAAAAAAGATTCCGAAGTGGAAGAACAAAAAAAATTAGAGAAAGTATTTTACTCTTTATTTTCCTAATCTATGCATAGCTTGGTGAATATATGAGGTATTACATTACTAACCGGTGTTTGCCTATTTTCTACCCTTGGTCTTGGATGAATGTAAAAATTGCTCTATAAATCTTAATATTTGTATGCTTTGCTTGCCATACTAGTCAAAGGTTTTAAATCTATATCTTTGCTTAGAATTTCAATTATTTTTCTTAGTTTTTGAAAAAATTATTATACTAACTTTGTTATTTGATTGGTATTACAGGATGTACAAGTACATGCAAAAAGATATATATTGAAGACAAAGACGAAGAGTGGATCTATTAGCACTTTAGATTGCCTATAGTCATTTGACCCATTTTCCTCTTTGAACGTCACATTCCTTCCCCTGTGTATTGAATTAAATATAAACAAATAAATAATTAGTGGTATTAGAAATGTATTAGATCGTGAATTACAGGTTATTTAGGATTTTTAAGAGAAGATATATTGTGTAGTGAAATTTTATTGGATATTGCTTTTTGGATTTTGATGAGTTCACATGAATTTTGTTATAAAATCAATTTTCTTCTATATTGATAGTCTGCTTCCCATTAGACTGATTATTGTATATTGTTGAGTTCACATGTTGATTCATCTTTATTCATTAAATTTATAATTTTTATAAAATCATTTTTACTGTGTTGTCGTTAAGATATTTGGCAACACTTTCGTATTATTACTAGCAAATACAACAAGTGAAAAGTATGTTGCATATTATGACATAACTTACAATTTTGAACTGTCTCCCAAGGAGACAACAATTTTCATTTGTTGCCTTATGAACAGACAACGGGGGCATAAACTACGCCTCATATGTGTTGCCTTAGATACAAGGTAACACTTTTTAAGATTAAGCAATGGTTTTTCATTGTTACCTTTGCTTTATTTTGTTGTAGTATGAATGATACTTCTGTGTAAATCATCTATGGTCATAGGTTCATAATTGAACTCTGCAACAATCTTAGATGAGCGATCAATCTGATGGTAGGCAGTTTTACCCTTCATCTTGATTGAGGATACAACTGTCTTTTTCTTACCTGAAAAGTAGATTATGAGTGGAAAATAAGGAGCAAGTGAAGGAAACATTTAGAGGAACTCGTACCTTTATATTGCCCACACTCACTGCAAAGTGTGCTTTGGCATCTTCAACAGCATAAGCTTAAATTGGTCCATGATACCACCATTCAAAATAACTCAAAGAAACCACATCGCTTGACTTCTTGGGTTGCAAAACGACTTTAGGATATGTGAGGGGAATCACTTTTCCAAACATCTTCCTGATGAAATTTTGGACGAGAATCCCAAAGAATGTTACATGTGGTAAACAAGGGGATAGCAAGAAATTGGCACAAACCAAATTGTCTGGCCACTATCTGAGGGTTATAGGCTTCAAAACCAAAGTGTTCTGGCTCTCCTGCAGGTAAATCTTTGGAAGCTAACACAGAACACAAAAAAGGGGAGTCCTCACCAAAGGTTACCTTCATGCCTACCTTTTTGAGCCATTCTGGAGTTGCATCAAAGACCCATATACTGTTAGGATCCGGATTATCCTTCCTGCTCATGATATACCAACTAACAGGCAAAGGCTCTAACTCCAACATACAATGCATAACAAGAATGGGTTCAAGAACTTTTTGGTGGTCAAAATGGTTGAAGCATATCTCTGCATATGACAGACAATCCGACAATCAAGCTTGGATACATATAAAGCTGTCTCGGCTGCCATCTCTTTCTTAACTTCCTCTTTTGTCTTCTCCATACACAGAGTAGTGTAGAGATGACCCTAATAGATGACCAACCATAATCGTCCACCTACATTTTCTAAGCTCTAACCTTCACTAAGAGCTTCCCTACATCTAAACAGACATCTGTACAATTGTCCTAATAAGATTGGACCTAGCGCTACAAAAGACTTGTTATGGGAAATGTTCACTGCAAGTGGCAATAACAGTGCAGAAATGCCACCAGATTTGCACATCATTAAAAGAGTGAGAGCAAACAAAATAAAAAGTATCTCTTCCTCCTGCAACACCTTGGCAGAATATGATGGTGATGCAAAGTATGAGATATAGGCATTAAAGCCGATCTTGCTGCTTTTGGATGTTGCCAACTAGGGATGGCAACTCCGGATCCTTGGATCCATATCTGTTTTTTGCGGATATGGATCTTCAAAATCTGGACCCAACGGATACGGGTCGGATCCGGATCCCGTGCTAAAAAACGGATCTGGGTACGGGTCCAAATAAAATACCCGTATCCAGATCAGTTTACCCGTTTTTTTTTTAGAAAAAAAAATACTAAAATATAACTCATGTAACATGTAAGCAAGCCCAGCCCACTAACTCTAAGCTCAAACCTAACACTCTCATAATCCCACTGCTCCCCCTAACCCCTAATTCTATCCTCTCTTTTCTGCCCTCTAAACCCCAAAGGCAACTTTCTCTCTCTACACTAAACAAGCAAGTCTAACAACTGACATCAACACTCCGGCAACCTTGCCGCCCACTCTCTTCCACATTTCTCGGCAACCGCAACTCCTTAAGTTCGAACCGTTTCAAATTTTCTCAAGTGACATTGACCAATATCACACTCCGGCAACGCAACCTCTTCTCTCCGACGTACCAACATCAAGCCCCCTTCTCTATATCTGAATTCTGCACTTCGATTATGTTATGTTCATGTAAAGTCGTGAATTTTTCTGTGGTTATATTATTCAATACTCATGTCATGTAATTTAAATAAATCTACTATAAATTTTGTACTTCAGGTATGTTGTACTAAATTCGTGAATAATACACTATGATTAAGTGGTTATATTGAATTAAATGCATGTGTTTTTTTTTTTTATCCTGAAAACTATTCATCATTATTTGGACAAATTTAATAAAATATGAAGGATCCATTTAGGATCCGTTTTTAGACCCGGATCCGTAGGATCCAACGGATATGGATCCCTAGTTTTCATACCCGACGGATCCAGGTCGAATCTAGATCCAGGTGACAAAAACGGATCTAGATATGGATACAGTTCAGATCTGACCCGTTGCCATCTCTATTGCCAACATTTGCTTCAGAAGGTTGTGACTTTTATTATACAATGGTCCAGCGCCTTTAATCAGGCTGAACACTCTGATTTGCTGACCTTTATCATCATAAGGTGATAAACCAGTAAGGAAGGCCATATCAGCAAGGGTGACAGTCATGAAACCTTGGCTCAAGATGAAACAATTTAGCACCGGATCCCAGAGCGATATAAGGGCAAATGTCAGCAATCCGTTGAATGGAATTTTTCCATATGTCGCCAATCTGAGGAAACCGAAAATTCTCTTCTTCTACCAAACCTAACCTTTAATTGGATTTTGGCTTAAAACCCAATTTTCGTTTGGATGCAATTCATTAAATGTAGCAGGGCGAGGTGAACCTTTACCAAGGATACACTTGGTTAACTTAGGCTAAATTTCCTTTCGGAAATCTTGCAAAGCATCAGGAGATGAAAGGTCGAAGTGAAATGCTGGCCTTGTTGAGGTTGTGCCTTTCAAAACACCTTCTTCGGTGGTCGAAGATGAAATATGCCATAGGAAGTCAGATCCGAAGTTTTGGGGGTACTTGCTTATCAACTCACACAATTCATGAGCCTCAATCGAATAACCTTTTTCCAAAAAAGATTTGAGCACTTCTTGCAAAGGAAGAGAAGTCATTTCACACTTCACAAAGTTTAAAGATTGGAGGATTGATAGTTTGGAAGATTAGAGGGTGAATTGGAGATGGGATAGGATGAAGGATGCCTTGAAGGTTTTTATAGTTTTCTAAGTGTTGGAGAGTTAGTTAAATTGTGTCGTTTGATTTCGTTCAGACACAAACGATACAAATGGTTTGGCCGAGTCTCCTTAAAAAGGAAATTGATTCCCAATTGAAATTGAGTTGCACAACCTTAAAAACAGCGTTTAGGGCTCGATTTGATAATTGGGAATCAAGCGATGAAAGTAAGAAATTACTGAATTACCCTTCGATAAAGCTTATCAAATAACATTGTTGATAGCTGTCTAGAAAGTAATTGCTAGGTAATTTCCGAAAATTATATAATCTAAAAAGTGACCAGAACATTTATGTCAACTTATAAATATAGGTTGAGATCATTAAATCACTTTTTACTTAAAACACGCAAGGTGTATCTTCTCTCTCAACAAAAATCTTTTGTTTGAATATTCACTTCAAATCGTCCTAAAAATCTTTCTTTCACCTTAGATATGGAGAGTCCAACCTCTAGCACAGCCGAGTCTCATCCTAAGGGGAGGACAACAAAAGTTGATCTAATTATAGATTATCTATCAATGGAATTCCCTAAGATAGAGAAGCTTTGCTTAGATGTGGACAACCAAGAGCTAAAGGTGTTAGCTTTAGAGAGGTTGGATGCAATGGAGAAGGATACTAAGAAGGCAAAAGATGTTGAGTTCCATCACCAAGCTAGATTTGGCAATGCATGTTTCGGCTTCAACCCTGATGTGGTTTCAAGAGATAAGCCAGTGAAGTGGAAGAAAAGCCACAAGCGCAGGAGAGATGAAGGTGAACCTTCAAAGAAAAGGTGACAAATGAAAGCAAAGAGGTCTCCACCAAGAAACTTGGGAAGGATGATGATAATAGAGCAAGGAGACAACTTTGATTTATCCTCTGATATGTATGAGCCAGCACACAAATGTCCCAAAAGCCCTAATCACACTTCAGATTGATCAAAGGCTAGGGTTTTCTTGGTTTGATTTCTTTTGTCCAATTGAACTAACTTTTGGTTAAGGAGTTACGTACTCAAACATGATGTTTTACAAGTTCTTAGTTCTTCTAAAACTAAGTACTTAAACATGTTTTTGATCATGTCTCAACTCTTTAGAAATTTTAATTTCTATTTATGTCTGATCTTGGGTATGTTTAAATTATATGATCAATACAAATTATAAATATTTTGTTCTTTGATCAAGCGATGCAATTGATTTGTTATATTTGTACCCACACAGATATATTTTTTATTTCCTAGAAATTAAAATATATGGGTTGTAATTATAATTAATTTCACGATTTACCAAGTGACAGACAACCGTATTTATTGGAATTTAAGTGAAAAGACACTTCTATTTTCCCGATAAAAATTAAATGAGCAGTAAAATTATTAACTTGAAAGTGGAAGTTACTATGTAATTTCCCTGACGGTTTAGTTTCAAATTCCTTCCCCTTAATATGATTTTTGGCTAAATGACTTTCAAGAAGTTGGAGAGTTACGTGATCTTACCACGATATACTGACGTAACGGAGAATTTTAATCGTCAAGAGAGTGATGCAAAAGTGATTATAAATACAAGTAGTCAGTTCACTCAAAATTTTCCTTCTTCATTAAGCCAATTTTATTTCTCTCTCTTACTTTCTCTCTCTAAAAGTAATCTGTCAGAGTTTGTTCCCTTCCTTGAAATACTCACACAAAAATATTACAACGGCGGAAGAAATAATTCCAGAAGAAATCCCACAAGATAATGAGGAGTTACAAG